GCGCTCTTGGGGCCGTCCTGGGACTTTCTTGGGCCCTTCTCGAGGGCAACCTTAGGACCATGATAAGACCATTCTGAGCATGCAATCGTCACTCGTAAACTAAAACGCGAGAAGGCAGAAAATTATGTGTTGTCTTCTTTAGCGTGTTTTAAGGATGTTGGCCCCTTGGGGGTGCTTTGGAAGGTTCGGAGGGCATTTTGAACAGTCTTGGAGCGGTATGGAGACTTCTTAGGGGTATGTTGGAGGCTACACCAAGCCATCTTGAAGTAAAATGAGCTATCTTGGAGACCATCTTGCAGCACCTGGGGCCCTCTTGGAGCCATCTTGGACTAGATTGGACGCTCTAACCCCTTGCCCCCCCCGTCCAGACACATGGGAGGGGGTAGGGAAAGGGGTCAGTACCCCCTCCCCGCCCGCAAGCCGTCTCGCTCACTGCCACCCGCCCTCCCAACACATACGTAGCACCCGAGACTGGCCCGAGCCTCAGCATATTCAGCAGTCTTCTTTGGATGGGCAGCTACTGGGAGACAATCCGCCGCCGCCGCCTCCGCTGCCGCCGCCGCCGCCGCTGCCCGCCGCCGCCGCCGCCGCCGCCGCGCTGCCGCCGCCTGCCGCCGCCGCCGCCGCCTGCCGCCGCCGCCGCCGCCGCCGCCGCCGCCCGCCGCCGCCGCCACCGCCGCCGCCGCCGCCGCCGCCGCCGCCGCCCGCCGCCCCCGCCGCCGCCGCCGCCGCCGCAGCCGCCGCAGCCGCCGCCACCGCCGCCGCAGCCGCTGCAGCCGCCGCCGCCGCCGCCAAGTGTACTCTGTATTGTTTTTTGACAGGGATGGTGGGGGGGCCGCATCGGGTTGGCTGCGCCCTGGTTGGCCCCCAGTCGCATGGTGGACGGGGTGTTTATTAATAGGGAACAGTGATCAAGACACCCTCCGAGATAGCAAGCCGTCAAGCTCACTCCCACCCGCCCTCCCAACGCATAAGTAACACCCGAGCCTCTGCATGTTCAACGGTCGTCTTTGGATCGGCAGTTACTGGGAACCAGATTCGAGCCTGAGTGCGCGACGCTGGAGCGAGGTGCGCCACGCGTGCCAGGCGCGCTTCGCGGTCCAGGCACCCTTCTGGCCCGAGCGTGCCAGGCACGCTTGGTGCGCCAGATGCGCCACGTGTTTCCGCGTGCGCCAGGTGTGCCGCAGACTCCAGCTGCGCCAGGTGCGCCACGTTCGGGGCACGTGCAGAGTGCGTCAGGGGGGGCTCGCGCACGTGTCAGCACACATCATGAAACATGTCGGCCCCCACCATCCATGTCGAAGACCAATGCCCATCATTGTATCTGGTGGGCCTGCGCACAGCAGGCCATACGCCACCACTTGACAGTGATCGCGGGGTGGCCGCGCACGATCCGGCTTGAGCTGCGAGGTGCATGGTGTATTGTATTTCCCAACCATCCTGTGGTGTTGGGTCTTCGTTTTGAAGAGACAGCGCCCGCGTCCTCCTTCCTTTTCCTCCCGCTGCCTCCCCTCCTGCTCCTCCTCCTCCTCCTCCTCACCCTCCTTGCCTCTGCCCCTTGCATGTCTCTGCTTCGGCACACCCCTCACACGCTTCGTGGCCCCAGAAGGGGGCTCTACCTAAGGCCCCAGTGGCGCAGCCCGCATGGCGGTGCCGCACCATTTTGGCACACCCTTCAAACGTTTCGTGGCCCCATAGGGAGCTCCATCTAGGGTCCCAGTGGCGCAGCCCGCATGGCGCCGCCGCCCCATTTTGGCACACCCCTCACACATTTTGTGGCCCCATAGGGAGCTCCATCTAAGGTCCCAGTGGCGCAGCCGAATTTTGTTACACCCCTCACACGCTTCGCGGCCCCATAGGGAGCTCCACCTAAGGTCTCCGTGGCGGAACTCGCATGGCGGCCCAGTGGCGGAGTTCACATGGCGGCGACTTTCGGTTTCTGGAGGTTTTTCGTCGTATTCGATGTGTTGAGGCCGCTGTCGGGCAGCGCATCCCGGGCGGGAGACAGCCTGCTCGTTTGCTCTGCTCCGCGCAGCGGACGACCCGCGCGTGTCGCCGGGACCCCTTCGGGGCGACCAGCGCGCGTCGCGGGGACTCCGTGCGGCGCCGCGCCCGCAGTCTTGGACGTGGGCGTGCACGGGCAAATAGGGAGAAGAAGACCGGGAAGGAAGCGCGCGCGATCCTCGTGAGAGGCGCGCCGACATGGGCGTCGACATGTATGCGCGTAGAGTCACGCGCTCGCAGACTCGTCCACAATCACACTCACGCGCTCTCAGTCTCTCGCACACAGACCTATCGTCTTCGCTCGCGTTGTGTGCCCCGCCACGCATGTCGGCACGCCCCTCACGCGGTTCGTGGCCCCATAGGGAGCGCGGGCGAAGATTATATTTATACTTGCGGTATTCACAGCTGCATATGGTTGGGTCCTTCGCCAGGCTAATGCGTCAAGGATGGTAGCCCTGCGCGCAGCAGGCAATGTGTTGACACCCCCGCCGCCCCTGTCGCGAAGGCAATACAAAGTGCTCGCGGGCCTCACGAACATGACTCCGGACTTTACCCCAAAGTGTACTTTGCATTGTGTTTTGACAGTGGGTGGGGCCCTCATCGGGTCGTCATGGTTCCTGGTTGGCTGCCGGTCGCCTGGGGGAGTGGGTGTATATTAACAGGGAACGTGATCAAGGCATTCCTCCCATACGCAAACTGTTTGGCTCACTCCCATCCGCCCTCCCAACGCATAAGAAGTATCCTGGCCTCAGCTGGTTCAGCGGTCGTCTTTGGATGAGCAGCTACTGGGAACTAATACACATCCCAGGTGCGCGACGCTGGGGCGAGGTGCGCCACGCGCCCCAGACGCGCCATGCGTGCCAGTCGCGCCACGCGCCCTTGAGGCCCAAGCGTGCCTGGTGCGCCAGATGTGCCACGTGCGCCAAGTGTTCTGCATGCTCCAGCCGCGTCAGGTGCGCTTGGGGCACACGCAGAGTGTGCCAGGTGCGCCCGCACAGATCGGGAAACATGTCGGCCTCCACCATCCTTGTCGGAAGCCAACGAACAATCGCCTGCACACAGCAGGCAACGAACCAGCACACACGTCGTCCCTGTCAGAACCACTGCAGCGTGATCGCGGGGTGCCCTCGCATGATCCAGATCTAGCTGCGACGTGCAGCTTGCAATTCAATTTGAAACGGATGGTCGCCCTGCGCACCGCAGGCCGTATGCTGGCACCGACGCCGTCCCGTTCACAAACCAGACAGAGTGTTCGCCGGGGTTCTGAGCACGACTTTGAATCTTGCCGCGCAGTGTTCCGTGCATTCTGTCTGACAGGGATGGTGGTGGGGGGCTGGCAGGGCACAAAGCAGGTACTAGGCGGGCACCCCCGCCGTCCCTTTCAAAGCCCCCTGCTAAATCGTCGCGGGGCGCCCTCGCGTGCTCCGGATTTGGAGGCAAAGTGTATGTGGCATGGTGTGTTGACAGGGACGCTAGCTCCAACCACCTCCAACCTCCTCCTCCTCCTCCTCCTCCCCCTCCTCCCCCTCCTCCTCCTACGCCTCCTCCTCCTCCTCCTCCTCCTCATCCTCCTCCTCCTCCTCCCAGCACACAGGCAGCGTCCCAGCCTGGGAAGCACAGAGCGGACTGTGAGGGCCCCCCCGCCGCCCCTGCCAAAGCCCCATGCAAAGGGATGGCGGGGCGCCCGCACATGATCTAGATGTTACCGCCAGGTGCTCATTGCATGGCTCTTGCCATGGATCGTGTGTCAAAAACCGCTGCAGCATGGCAGCGGGGTCCTCACGCATGAACCAGCTTTTGCCACACGGTGCGCTTTGCATCACGTTTTGACGGGGGCAGTGGGCATTTTTACGCACAGTCCAGTTGTTGCCGCAGAGTGTTTTCTGCATTGCGTTTCAGCAGGGATGGTAGGCCTGCGCAGCGGAAAACTTTTGGGCACCCCCGCAGTTCTTATCAAACACTGAAACAAAGCGCTCACGGAGCGCCCGCGCACAGTCCAGATTTTGCCGCAATGGGCACTTTGCAGTGCTTCTTTTTGACAGGGACGGGGGGAGGGCCCTCATTGGCCCGGGTGTGTCGCCGGTCGGGTGGGGGAGGGGGGGTACTGATCAGGAACAGTAGTAAACCCCTCCCCCAAGCAGGGGAAGGAGGGGCTCTGGAAGATGGAAGAAAACAATTCGCTGCACCACCTTCGCCGAGAGGGCTGGTGGGATTACGGGCGCACGTCTCGAACGAGCATATAGCTGTGCAGTATTAGCAGGTCGACCCTGCAAAGTCAAGGGTACCCATGGGTCTTGTCTATCGCGTTTCATGCTTGGGGGGGCTGATTCCAGGTGAGCGGAATACAAGTGGCCCGTGAGTCTGCTGACAATGTGCAGCACATCCGATTGTATCAGAGCGTGTATCAAACGACCTGAAACAGTCGATTTGACATTGACAAGTTGCAGCAGCGTTGGGCATATATTGTCGCACGTCTCATGCCTGGCACAAGCCCGATGCTCCCACATCAAATCCTCGTGCCTTCTGGCTGCAGGAGGAAGAAAAGAGGCCAATGACGTCAAGGATAGTGGGTGGGAGTCACGTGCGGGCTGCGGTTGGCACACGAAAGAAGAAGTCGGCCTTTCAGCAGATGTCCCATCTATGTTGTCATGCCGTGATGGCCACATTGCCCATAAATCATTATGGGAAGGCTGATTGTCGCGCGTGTCTTCTATGTTCCTCCTCCTCTTCGTCCTCTTTGTGATATGCGCAGCCGCTGAGAGCTTGAAGGCTCTCGTCGAGTCTCAAACTATGCCCCCCCCCCCCCGCCGCATCCTCCCTCTCCAATTCCTCCTAATCCTCCCTGTCCGCTGCCTCCTCCTCCTCTTCCTCCTCCTCCTCCTCTCCCTCCTCCCAGTCCGCCTCACCCTTCTAATCCATCTTTTCCTCCTTCCAAATTCTCTGCCTTATCGTCGTCATTCTCATCCTCATCCCCACCTGGGGTCGCTTCCCTGCAGGCGCGATTCAAGCCTATGGCCATCTTCGAGACGTTGAACCACGAGGGCTTGCGCGCCAGGATGGTGGAATTTCAGAGGCCTGCGCTTCGTGTTGTCAACTAAGATTCCTGCTGGCTTCTGGCTGGCCTTGCAATCGTATTTGCTTGAATCCAAGGCTTCGGCGTACGTACAGCGATCAGGATTGAGGAGACCAATGCGGGCCTGAATATCGTCATGTTAATAACAAGCATTATATGTTTGCACACCTGTTCGATAGGGCACCTGGATCAATGTCAGGGCATTTGGGGGCACCACTGCCTTGTAGACTGAGCGAAGGGACATCCGTCCGTGGAGAATAAATTACACGAGGGGGTCACTCATGATAGGTTGCTTTTCGACCATTTTGGCGAGGTGTGTTCCAAACAAGGCATCGACACTAGTCTGCCTTCCTGCAAACACCATGACGCTAGATCGAGGAAGCGCACGTCTTGGTACTGATCCAGGTGCGGCTGCCGCTGTGGGCACCGGTCCCAGGCCCATGCGTTGACGAAGGGGCCCCCAATGGCCAGAAGCACGGTCCAACGGAGAGGGTTTCTTATGCTCCGCGTTCGTTACCATGCATGAGGGCGCCCATTGCCAAGATTCACCGCCTTTTGAGGAATACGCAACCGAGTGAGACTCTCATGTGTTTTGACTGGTTCTGCGTTGGGCTGGACGCTGAGCACATCCGCGTCCGAGACTGGAAGCGCAACTCTCGCGAGGCGCCCTCGGCTTCCTCGCCACTCTGGCGAGATACGCCTCGCTTTTGCGCACGCGATTTTTTGCCGCCGCCTCTTCTCGCAGGGTTCAATAATCCTCGGCCCTCTCAGCCACCCCGGTATATTTAATTGGGTTTGAAGGCCGAGATCCCACCCACATCGACCGCCTCGATCCGGAGCGCAGCGGACGGAGGGACCGCGCGCTGCCGGCAGAGTCTGCTCTGAGCCCAGCTGTTGAGCGAGGCAGTTCTCCAAGCACAGTGCCTCTCGGGGCAAGCTTTGAAGAGCACTCGAGGCGCGGCATCTGGCCTCGAGCCCTGCCGAAGGAGGAGACCGAGCGAGGGCCCGCCCACCTTTCGAAGGTCGACGGCACGCGAACGTGTATGAGGATCCCTGCGTTTCAAAGTTACGGGCTTGTGCAAAGAAGACGCGCTTCGCCCCTAGACGGCTGTGACTACAGACGATGCTTGACACAGTCATGCAAATGCAAGCGAGGACAAAAACGGACAAATCGCGCCCCCCCGAAGCTCATCTGAGCGACGCTAACAGGGGGTGCGCCGACGTAAGCGCCCTCGTCTCGAATCTAGCGTGCCGCGCTGGCGGCCCGCGTAAGCCGCCGCGTAAGGTCGCTGCCTCATCTCGCTGAAGACCCCTGCTTGATCGTCGCTCCTCTCGCGAGCCTTGGGACGGGCTTGGCGGAGCCCGCGCTCGCGCTTGTGAGAGCGGACGCGGGCGGGGCGGCCGGCAAGCGTCCAGGCCACCCGCGGGGGCGCGAAGGCAGCCTCGCGCCTCGCGCCTCGCGCCTCGCGGCGGCGGCGCGAGGGCGCAGAGAGCCCCGCACCGCGCGAGGCGGGCGGCCCAGGAAGCTCCCGTCGCGCACGCGGCCGGCACCGGCCGGCGGCCGCGGCCTCCGGCGGCCTTCCGGCGGCCCTCGGCGGCCCTGGGCGAGCCAAGAGCGCGGGCCGCTGCACGAGCCGGCGCCCCGCGGCTCACTGCGGGGTCGCGGGCCCCGCCCGCGCCGCCCCGGCGGGCAGGCTGGCGGCCAGCGCCGCGGCGGTGCCGCGCGGCCGGGCGGCGCTGGCGCTGGCCTGCGCCGCAGGGCGCCGCCCCCAGCGCTCCGGTGGCGCGGAGGGGTCCGGGCGCGCTGGTCTCGGGGAGGCGGCTGGAAGGCGGCCTGCGGCGGTCCCACGGCGGCCTGAAGGCGAGGGGAGTGGCGAGCCACGGAGGGAGGTGAGCCATTGCGGCCTCGGAAGGGCACTCCTCGGTCCGGATCCTCTCTCTCTTTCTCTCTGTCTCTCTCTCTCTCTCTGTTGTCTGACGTTACCAGCTCCCCGACAGGTCCCTCTCAACCCAAAACGAGTTGGTTGATTGAGCCCGCGGAGCGGGAGTCACGGCGGGCCACCACGGGGAAACCAGCACGCAAATCTTGCAATCAGCGAGTATTCAAAGGAATGGCCTGGATTTGGGGATGTCTTGGGGCTATCTGAGAGCCGCGCTGTGGCAGTGTTGAGCTCTCTTGGGCGATGTGGCGCTTCTTTAGCGTCCGTTGGGGGTCTGGGAGCGCTGTGGGCGTGTCTTGGAGCCCTCTCGGCGTCTTGGTGCCCTCTTGGGCAGTCTGGAGCCTATTCGGCAGCCCTTCGCCCTCTTTGGCCCTCTTGCGGTCCTTTTGGAATCGTCTTGGGCGCATTTGACCCGTATCGGAGCGGCACCTTTGGAGATCTTGGGACCAGCTCGGACCATCGTTTGTTCCGTCTTGGAGGTCCGATGGGGCCCTCCTGGAGCGCTCTCGGAGCCGCCCCCAGCCATTTGGAAGCCATCTTGGAGCCCTCTGAGACCATCTTGAGGCTGTCGTGGGCCACCTGGGGGCCCTCAGGCGAGACCCGTCAGAGGATCCACGGGGGTCCACGCGCGGATCCCCTGAACCAATTATTAGCCATCTGCCGAGCCCCTCCCTTTCGGGGGGGGTCGAACTGGGCACGGAAAGAATGGCGACGAAGGCCGACGGCCGTTCTTGCCCACTTTGCACGGGCCTCGCTGTCACCGTCGCCGCGGGCGTTGTCCAGTTGCTACAAAGTCGCCTGCCCAACAGCGGCCGCCGTCTGATTTGGACGACATCTGCTGTCAGGCATCGTGCTAGACTTGCCCGTGGCCGTTTCGGGCGTGCCAGCCTTCCTGTCTGCTCCTCCAGCCAGGTTCGCCCCTCTTCCTTCTGCAACCTGGCAACACCAGCGTCTGGTCCACACGGCGAAGGCTTCTCCGCTCCCGCTCTCGCTCCCGTCGGGGGCCCGACTTTTATTCATGGGCGCCGGCCCGGAACATGACGGGCGCCGCCTTCCTCTGGGGTGGTGGTCAAGAGGGGAGTGATGATTGTTGTGCCGTGAAAAAGATCGCCCAATGTTGACAGGCTGGCGCAGTGTGGATCGGAGGTGCCCAGTTAGGCGCGCGGGGCCTGTCACAGTGTGACGGGAGTGGAGATACGTCAGCGGGGGGCGGGTAACGTCGGACTTGTATCTCCAACTATTTTATAGCGATTCCAAAACAGCGAACCGCGTGGACCCTCCTCAAAAAGAGGCTTTAACCAGGTTCCAAAGTCGGTCCCAACAAAATTTGATGGCGGAACTAGGTTACAAAAAATTGTGAATGCGCCCTGTTCGGCGTGGACGCCCGCTTTTTAGATGGACGCTGAGCAATGCACGAGCGGCGACGCTCTCGCGGCGGTTGCACAAAGTGGTTGATGCGCTTTGTTCGGCGTGGACGCCCGTTTTGTTTAGGTGGACGCTCAGCAAGTGCGCGAGCGGCAACGCTCTCGCGGTGGCGGTTGCAAAATATGGTAAATGCGCCTTGTTCGGGTGGACGCCAGCTTTTTCAGTGGACGCTGAGCAATTGGCATGGCAATTGCACGAGCGGCGACGCTGTCGCGGTGGTCACCCCTTGGAAAAAAAAGTCCGGACCGCAGAGGTCGGGGGAGAAGCTTTGATATTCGGTTCCCGTTCGGCCACGGGGCCCCGGCACAATGTTGCAGAGGCCGCAGTGGCAGAATTGCCAGTGCATTTTCACCCCCTTTGCGTAGTAGAATCACCAAATGGGATGACGACCGGAAATTCGCATTCCGCCCAACGTTTCCACCGAAAAAATTCCGGTCGCTTTTCAGACGACCAGAAATTTTCAGAGGCCACCGGATTGTGGCGATCCCGCTCAGGATTTCACGAAAATGAAAAATCCAGTCTCATTTCTGTTGCCTGAAAATTGCGCTTCTGCCTGGGAATTCCTGCAAGTCATGTTTACCACTCGGCATGGGCAATTGCTTCCAGTGCTCAGCGCCTTGCGGCGCCTTTCCGTTGTTCGGCGCGCGGGCCTGTCGCGGGGTTATCTCGGAGGCCATGGTCCAGAATTGGAGGTCCAGGAACAATCGAGGGTCGAAGCTCCCCGCCCCGTCTGATAGCGACGATGCACGGGGGCCTGCAGTGCCGATCCGGACTTTTTTATCCAGGGGGTGGTAAAACGGCAAACCGCGTGGACATCCCCCACTAAATTTAACCAGGTTCCAAAGTCCGTTCCAAACAACAGAAGTTGGTTCCAAACAAGAGGGAAGTGGGCGTCTCGTGCCCTCGGAAAGCAGGTTCGAACCAGGTTGCAAAGTCGGTTCCAAACCAGAGAAAAGTGGGCGTCTCGTGCGGAACGTCTTCGAAAAAGCAGGTTCGAACCAGGTTCCAAAGTCGACTCCAAACAATAGAAAGTAGGCGTCTCGTGCGGAACCGCCTCGAAAAGCAGGTTCGAACGAGGTTCAATTTCGATTCGAAACAACAGAAGAGCGGGCGTCTCGTGCGGAGTTGCTTCGGAAACCAGAGTCGAACCAGGTTCCAAAATCGGTTCCAAACAAGAGAAAAGTGGGCGCCTCGTGCGGAACGTCTTCGAAAAAGCAGGCTCGAACCATTTTCCAAAGTCGGTTCCAAACCAAAAAGCGGGCGTTTCGTGCGGGAAGTCTTCGGAAATCACGTTCGAATCAGGTACCAAAGTCGGTTCCAAACAACAGACGAGTGGGCGTCTCGTGCGGGACTGCCTCGAAAAACAAGTTCAAAACAGGTTCCACAGCAGCTTCGAAACATCATTAGAAAGTGGGCATTTTGTCTCGGACTTCCTCGAAAGGAAGGGGTTCGAACTCGGCTCCAAGCCATGGAAAAATTAGCGTCCTGTGCGGGGCTTCCTTCAAAAGCATGTTCGGACCAGGTTCAACATCGGTTCGAAACAATAGAAATGTGTGCGTTTCGTGCGGGCCTTCCTCGAAATAATGAGTTGGAGTCAAACACATTGCGTGGGGTGTCTTCTCAAAATGCACGTGCGCCAGGTTCGAAACCATAAGAAAGTGAGCGTTGCGCGCGGGACCCCCTCGAAGATGTGATTTGGATTTTTGTTGCAAAAAGGTTCGACATAAGCCAGTCGTTCGAGACATCCTTTCAAAATTGATGGGATAACGGTTCTAGGCCAGAAGAACATGAGTGCTTCTCGTGGGACATCCTTTCAACATTGATGCGCCCGGTGCGAGCGAAGAAACACATGCTAGTTTCGAATGGGACATCATCCTCGCACGTGCTGCCGCAGAGGAAATTCCCAGCCACACAACCACTCTGGTGATCATGGGCGTTGGGAGTTCGTGCGTCTTGTTCACAGGCGCTATGGTGCCCGCGGGCGCTTGGGTGCTCACAGTAATTGTGGTGATCAGGCGCTGCTGTGTTCGAGTAGGTGATGATAGTATGATAGTACGTTGATGCGCCCGTCAAGACTACAACATGGAGTTCACACAGGATGGTCTGGTGTTCTTCTGCATCTTTCGTCATTATTCAGCCTCGTGCCCAACGGCGCCGCAACGGCAGAATTGGGCAAAACTTTAATCACGCCCATGCAGGGGGGGATGTCGTGGCCAGGGAAATAATATCTCCCCAGATGTTACGGCGCCTCTTCTTACTTCAGTACGTCCCCTGCTCCCCCCCCCCCTGGGCCGCGGATATGCCTGGGAGCATGCTTTGCGAACGCCCCCCGTTTGGACGCGCCCCGAATCCTGGGGGGCGCGCGAGGCAGGCGCGACGGAGACGCCACAAAATGCCGAAGTTCGCGATACCCACTTTGAGGGCCGGGCTCGGGATACCCAAAGTTAGGACCTGTGAACTCTTTTGTCGGGAAAAGACGTTCCGATCGACTGGAATCACCCCGGAGAGGCCGCGGCCGGCCTCTTTTGGGGGGAGAGCGCGCCGATCTGGGCCAGATCCGGGGCCCCCGACGGGGCCCCGGGCCCTCGTCGCGCTCCCCGCCGAAGCGCCCTTGCGAACACAGGCGCTGCCATCGAGGCGTGGCGCCCGCGCGCAGGCACAGCGGGGGCCCGTGCCAAGAGGCACCGTGCTCAGCTCCAGGGTGCCCCGGGTGTCTCGGGCTTCGGTGGTCTTGCCATGGACAGCGTGACGCTCCCACACCGAAAATCCATGGACGTCCTGGGGCCTCAGGGTTGGATTTCTTGTGGAAGGTTTCTTGTGGACTGGCCTCCACTGTATGAAGGCACCAGGGCGGGCAGCTGAGCAAAGTTGGGGGGGCGGTGGGGGGGCAGCACCTGCGCGCGCGGAAAATCCGACTCGGGTGAGCTGGCCCGAAGGCGCTTCACGGTGCATCGGCAGCAGTCGGGGGGGGGACGAAAGGGTAGGATGGCAAAGGGCAGGGTAGAGAATCAGCTTAGGTAGCTGGTTTTTCTGGCGCCTCCTGGCGTCGGGAGGCGCCCATGTATCGCGAAATGGGCCCAGCGGCGGGGCGGAAACCAGCTGCCTGCAGCAGATTTCGTACCCCCCCTTTCCCTATCCAGCCCTTTCGTTCGGTCCGACATAGCTCGTAGAGTGCTCCGGCAAACTTCGGCGCAATCCTTTTCATTCCAGGCGAATCGGCCGAAGAAGACGATAGACGCCAAATACATCGCCACCGACAACGACGTGTGGGACGTACCCTTTATCAGGGAACACGTTGGCTTACATACGTTGGTGCGCGTAGTGAGCTGTGGTGCCTGTGGGGCACAGCGATGTGCCCCATTGAGCTCGGTAGGGCCTCTGTGGGAGCCTTTGAGTATCATTTTGGCGTCTCTTGGGAGGTAGGGGAGCCGTTTGGGCGTGTCGTGGGGCCGTCTGGGAGCGTCTTGGGGCCCTCTTGGTACTCACTTGGGCCGTATTGAGGCCGTCTGGGACCTCTTTGAGGGCCATCTGAGGGCGTCTCGGGTCTCTCTTGGATTGTTTAGCGGTCCGCTGGGACGTCCTGGATCCTTCCTGGGACCGTCTGGGGCGCTTGTGGGGAAGTCTCCAGAGGTTATTGCGTGCCTCTTGGACCTTCAAGGACATTATGAACACCGAAAAAGGGAATACGCCAAAATGTTTCAAACCAGCCGAAAATCAATCGTTTAAGTTGCTTTGATGTCTTTTAAAAGCTCTTGGAACTCTCTGGGGCCGTCTTTGGAGCTTTCGTGGATCTCTTGGAAGCAAACTGCTGGTCTCCTAGCGGCGTTTCCGATGCCTCTCAGTGGTCGTCTTAGTCATGTGTGGTCCATCTTGAAGACCTCTTGAGCCGTCTTGCACCATCCTGGCAGACTCTGAACACAAAAACACAATATAAGCGAAGCCAAGACAGCCACCGACCGCAGCGGTGATGGGGATGGTTTGGCGAGGCCGCTTGCCATAGCTTGCCTAGCCAGTAAATGCGACGCGTTTCGTGAACACTTAGCCCCCTTCGCCAGGCACGGGCTCAAATGGGTGTCCCGCGGCGCCCGGACACCATCCACGAGCGCACGCAGAGGCAAGATGCGAATGCGATTAATGCCACAAGTGGGGGCTCACGAATCAGCAAGGAGGTACGCACAACAAATGTTGCGTTGCGCAAAAATGTGATGCTGCACAACAGACGGCTGCGACACAACATGGTTTGCTGTGTAGCCACCTGCAGCCAGCCCAGCTCTCGCTGTTCTGGTCAGCACGGCCATGACCAGCCCTGCTTCGATCCTCGCTCGCACGCCAGGGGCCCCCGTACGGAAGAAGCGTCGTTTAAGGAACGTGCCAAGAAGCGTTCAGACCCCAGAGGGTTCCTTATCTGATGAGGGCGGCGGTGATGAGATCCATAGCCAACCCACGATTGGAGTCCCACCTTGTCTCATGGTTTATGACCCAGCGCCCTCACCGTAGCCCAGCTCCCGCTGTTCTGTTCAGCACGGCAAAGGCCACCCCTGCTGCGATCTTCGCTCCCACACCGGGGGGGCCGCCGCACATAATTTGTTGACGCCTGGCTCAAGCTGGGGGCCCAGCCGGCCCAGTTCTGGCCCCTCGTCCGGCGCGAGACCCCGGCGCGAGACCCGGGCGCGGTCTCGCGCCGCGCGCGCTCGTGCGCCATGGCCTCGGGCGAGGCATACGAGCCGCCCCGCCGGGCCGTGTCCTGGCTGCGCCCGGAGGACGAGGCCCTGATGGACGAGGACGAGGAGCGCAATGCCGAGCAGGCCGCGCGCAACCTGGAGGTGCGGCGGCTGCTGCGGCGAGGCCGGCGGCAGCGGCAAGGCAGCGCGGAGGCGGAGGCGGCGCCGGAGGCCTTCATGGCCGTGACCGAGGCCAAGGGCGGGGCGAAGCCGGCGTCGTCCAGCTCGGGCCAGCCCCCGTGGTTTGTGGCGCGCCCGGGCATCGACAACGTGGTGCTGCGACTGCACGAGGAGCTTCTCGACTTCCAAGAGTTCATGAGGCACACCGACGAGGAGGCGCAGACCCGGCAGGAGTGGGTCCGCACCATCGGCGAGACTTGCCGGTCGATGTGGCCCTCCTGCCAGGTGCGCGTCTTCGGGTCCTTCTACACCGGCCTGTCCCTGCCGAACGGCGACGTGGACGTGGCCGTGCTGGACGTGCCGTGCAAGAACACCACCGCCATGAAGATGCTGGCGAACGCGCTCCTGGCGCGCGGGCAGATTAGCTGGCTGGAGCTGATCGAGTCGGCCAAGGTGCCTATCGTCAAGGTGCGCTCCCAGGCCTCCGGGCTGAGAGCCGACATCGTCTTTAACCAACCCGACGGCATCGCCACTTCCAAGTTCGTCCGCAAGAGGCTGAAGGAGATGCCGCAGATGAGGCCATTGGCCGTCTTCCTGAAGTACTTCCTGCTCCAGCGGGGGCTGCACGAGACGTACACGGGAGGAATGGGGTCGTACTTGTTTTGCAACGTCCTGCTTCATTTCATGCAGAGGCACCCGTCGTTGCGAAACAAGCGAACTTACGAGGCCACGTCGCTCGGGCACCTGCTGTTCGACTTCTTCAAGTACTACGGGTCGGAGTTCAACTACGACGCCAACGGCATATCGGTCGTCGACGACGGCAAGGTCTTCAACAGGGCGCAGCGCGGCTGGGGCACCGGTGGCCGGAAGGGCGGCAAGGGCGGCAAGGGCGGCGGCAAGGGCGGCGGCGTGTCGCTGTGCCTCGAGTCTCCGCTGGTACCCGGCGTCGACTTGGGTGGCGCGTGCTTCAGGATGAGCATCCTGAAGAACCTGTTCCTGCACGGCTTTCACTGCCTGTGCCATCTCTTCGTGCACCGCGCGCCCGCGGACTCGTCCCTCCTCTGCCCGATGCTGCTCGACCCCGCTCACCCCGTGATCGCCGACCGCTACCGGCTCATGTCCGAGCAGCCCGCCGCGCTGCCCGGCGTGCCGCGGAGCGGCAGCAACTTGAGCCTCGCCGCTTCGCTGGAGGTCCCGCAGGACGTCGTGGCGGAGGACAGGGACTGCGACGGTGCCCTGCAGGAGCACGACAGCGACGTGCCGGTCTGCGTGGAGGATGAGGAGGATTTCGACTTGGCCGACCACGGGGGCTCCCAGGCGGCCAAGCGGCGGCGGCTGCGCCGCACCTCCCCCCGGGCGCCGCGGAGGGTGTGGGAGCAGCCTGCGTGATACAAAAAAGCACATATATATACATATAATTTGTTGACGCCTGGCGCACATCCGACACAGCCCGTCCAGGAGCGATTCGTGGGCGAGCCGGCGCGAGAAGCAAAGGAGGAGGAGGAGCGCCAGTGAAACAGAGAGCGGGGACACTATTCACCTCGCCCCCCCACCCCCGATGTCTAGGCTGGGCCCATTTCGATCCGATCGATCCGATTCGGTGTCGATTTCGGCCGGCCCGATTCGGCTCGATTTCAGTGCTCCGACGATCGGATGCGGCCCGATGCTTGCATGGCACTGCTGTACATCCCGGCGCGGCCGATCCGATTCGATTCCGGCTCCGTGCCGATGCGGCCCGATCCGACGAACACGTCGAGTCGATCCTATTGCCCGATGCGATGTTGGTTCATCTTGTGTCTAGGCCGATCAGCTCCCCAGGAAGCCTCCAGCGAGCGCCAGGGATGTCCGCCATCTTTCTCCACCAAGGCCCCCAGACTTCAGACGGGTTGATGCTCGAACCCTTGCGCCCCAGGGTGAGCCTTTCCCAAGAGGGCAGCATACCGGTTGGAAGGGCGGGGGATTCTCAAGTGGCAGCTTGCTGCATCCCATTTCTCAAACAATCACACTCTCGCCTCGGCGCCGCGCACATGTTCTCAAAACTGGCATTCTCGCCTCGACGCCGCGCACATTTGCTGGTTGAAAGGGTGTTTTTTTTCAGGGGGGGCGGGTGGTGACGTGTCGTTTGCGGTATTTCTCGTGTCGGCGCAGTATTCGCGCTCTGCCCTGCGGACCCCCATTGGCATTGCATTGGCGCGGTTTGGCATTGGATTGGCGTCGCATTGGTATTGCGCTGCATTTCGTCGGCAGTGCGCTGGCCTTGCGCCTGAACTACGCTGGCGACTTCCGTTGAAACCTCTACAGAAGGAATCCTATGAAACCCGCCATCAGAAGGATTCCTAGTTACCCTCCGCCCGCAAGACCAATTCATCTGGAACCCTGAACCAAGGATTCCTATGCTCAACCCTTTTCTCCACGCGCACACAGAAGGATTCCTAACCAATCCCTCCACTGAAAGATCCCAATCTAAATCATCCACAGAAGGGTTCCGAGTGACAAACGGGGAACAAACAGCATTAATTTCGTCCGCATCGATCGGGATTGGCATGCGACGACCGCGTGTTGGCATTGCACTGGCATTGTGCTGGCAATGGCTTGGCACGGACTTGCATAGAACTGGCATGCCAGCGGCCGGTTGAGTTCCTCCACAGAAGGCTCCTACTGAAATCCTCCATTGCAGGATTCTGAGGTCAATCACCAACATGAGGATTTCTATTGAATTATTGAATATAGAAGGCAAGCGATTCATTGGTGCCCCTTGACATTGCATTGGCCTTGTGCTGGCAAAGCGCTGGCATAGCACACGCATAGCCTTGGAATTGATTTGGCATTGCATCACTGTTGAGGCATTTCAAAGACGGATGCCTATTGAATTCTTCAGAAGGCTCCCACTGAAATCCTCCATAGCAGGATTCTTAGTTCAGTCCTCCACAGAAGGAATTACGATTTCAAGCTACAAAAACAAAGGATTCATTGGTGCTCCATGGTATTGCATTGGCCTTGCGCTGGCAAAGCGCTTGCATAGCACAGGCATTGTCTTGGAATCGACTTGACACTGCATTTCTCTTGAAACCCCTCGCGCAGGGATGTCTATTGAATTTCTCCGCAGTGGGACTCTTACTGAAACCCTCAATAGTAAGACTCTCAGTTCAATCATCCACGCAAGGGTTTCTATTGGAATCTAGAAGGAGCACGGTTCACTGGCGCCCCTTGGCATTGCATTGGCCTTGCGCTGGCAAAGCGCTGGCATAGCACAAGCACTGCCTTGGAATTGATTTGGCACTGCATCCCTCTCGAAGCCCATCATCCAAGGATTTCTATTCAATTCCTCCACGGAAGGGTCCAAACGAACTCCTCCATAGCAGCATTTCTGATTCAGTCCTCCACAGAAGGATTTGTACTGCAACATTGAAGAAAAAGGTGCATTGTTGCCCCTGGGCATTGTATTGGCCTTGCGCTGGCAGGGCGCTGGCATAACACAGGCATTGCCTCGTAATCGAATAGGTATTGCATTTCTATTGCAGCGCTTCGTACAAGGATTCCTGTTGGATTCACCCACAGGAGGACTCCTACTGAAACCCTCTATAGCAGGATCCCTAGTTCAATCATCCACACAAGGATTTCTATTTGAATCTAGAAGGAAGCACGGTTCACTGGTGCCCCTTGGCATTGCATTGGTCTTGCGCTGGCAAAGCGCCGGCACACCACAAGCATTGCCTTGGAATTGCGGTGGCATGCATTCCCCTTGAAACCCTGCTTATAAGGAATATAATTCAATTCCTCCACAGAAGGCTCGTACTGAAACCCCAAACAAGAAGGATTCCTACTTCAATCATCCACATAAGGAGTTCTATTGAAATATGGACCGAATGTTCACTGGTGCCCCATGGCATTGCATTGGCCTTGCGCTGGCAACGCGCTGGCATCACACACGCATTGCCTTGGACGTGAATTGTATTGCATTCCTCTTGAAGCCCTTCACATAAGGATTCCTACCAAATTTCTCATCATATGGCTCCTATCGGAATCCCCCATAACAGGAGTCCGATTGAATCATCCACAGCAGGATTTCTATTGAAATATAAAAGGGGGAGGAAGGCTTATTCCTTTCGCGTTGGATAGCGGTGAATGTGGATTGACATTGCACTGGCCAAGTGCTGGCGTTGTACTGGCATTGTGCTGGCGACACTCTGGTACGGTCATGGTGTATAATTGCATAGCACTGGTGTCCCTTGGCATTGCTAGCAGAGCTAGCGTAGCACTTGCATTCGTTAGCATTGCATTCCATTGAAACCCTCCACAAGCAACGGTTTTGATTGACAACCCTCCACATACTGATTCCTAGTGAACGCCCCCACAGGAAGTTAGCATAGCATGGTGCCCCTTGGCGTTGCGATGGTCCTGGCGCTGGCAAAGCGCTGACACAGCACTACCAGTGCATTGGCATTGTCTTGGCGTTGCGTTCATATTGAAATTATACAAACAGTCAACATCGACACCCTCCATACAAGGATTTCTCTTCAAATCCTCCACATAAGGATCCGTATCGAAATCCTACGCAAGAAGGGTTCCCGTTGAAACCATCCACAGAAGGATTCATACAACATCCTCCACGCAATGATCTGTGTGAAACGCCCGCAGAACGTCTCCGATTGGAATCCTCCGCAGAAGGGTTTCGATTGAAATCCTCCACATAAGGACTTCCATTGAAATCCTCAGGCGGATTTCCATTGAAATCCGCCACAGAAGGATCCCTTTTGAAATCCAACAAGAAGGGTTGCTATAGAAGTCCCCTCGACAGTGATTCCTATTGAAATCCTCTGCAGAAGGATTCCAATTTAAACCGTCAGAGGATTCTTGTTGAAGTGCACGAGAGAAACTACTCATCGCTTTCAGATTGAACTGGCATTGAATCCGAAGTGGCATTGCATTGGCCATGTGCTGGCATTGTGCTTGAATGCGGCGGCACGGACCCAGCATAGAATTGGCATGGGATTGGTGTTCCTTGGCGTTGCGTTGGCTTTGCGCAGGCAGAGCGCCCTCATGGCACTGGAATTACCATGGCATTGAATTGGCATTACTGGGGTAGGAGCGGTGGGTGGGGGGACTTTGGTGGGGGCGTGGGGGGTGGGCCGTGGGGGGGGGGGTAGCAACAAAAAAAAAAAAAAAAAAAAAAAAAAACGGGCTGACCCCCCCCCTGCGCCGATTTTTTTGTTTTTTTGTTCCCCCCCCCCCCCAAGGGCCACCGCTTGCTGCTCGGGGGGCGGACGGGTGGGGGGTGGAGGTGGGTGGGGGGGAGGAGAGAGGGGAGGGGGAGGAGAGAGGGGAGGAGCTACCTCTCTCGCCTGTTTCTCCCTCGCTTCTCCTTCCTCTCTTTCTCTCTCTCTCTCTCTCTCTCTCTCTCTCTCCCGCATACCTCTCTCTCTCTCCACCGCCTCCTCCCTATCTCTCACTCCCTCCTTCTCCCTCGCTCACTCTCGCGCCCCTCGGGGGTAAATCGTCGCGCGCGTCGGCCTCCAGACCGCCACTTGAGAATCCCCCGTTCTCCATTTTTGACAGTCTCGGGGGCCTTGGAATCCGAAATCTGTTTAAAGATAACACCCGGACTGGAAAACAAATTCGCCGTTGATCTGAGCCTCTGATTTGATGATCTTCCACGTCCGGTCAGGATAGAATGATCGATCAGGACGATGGAGCAAGATGATCTATCGTTGCATTACCAGGCCAAGGCATCGTCCGATTCGTGAGTCTCCGCCGAGACGATCCCTCTAAAAGTATATTGCACCTCCCTCTCCTCCTCCTCCTCCTCCGCCTCCTCATCCTCCTCCTCCTCCTCCTCTCCTCCTCCTCATCATCATCATCATCAGCATCATCAGCATCATCATCATCTTGCTCTTCATCACCATCATCATAATCATCATCATCATCATCATCATCATCATCAGCATCATCATCATCTTCATCATCATCACCCTCCTTGCTCTCCGCATCGTCATCTTCATCCCATGTTTCCTCCTCCCCCTCCTCCCTCTCCTCCTGCTCCTCATCCTCTTCCCATCCCCTTCCTCCCATCTCTATCTCCCACGCTTCCATTATCCTCATCCTTCATCGTGTCCGTGTGGATTAAGAAACCTCCGTACGGGGAATCACCTGAGGGACTGATTTTTTTCCCGATCCCATCCTTACCTTCTTTTGCTTATGTTGCTGATCGTCCTTCCACTTCCACGTACCTCTGTTCCTCCACCCTTCCGACTTCTCGTTCTCGCCTCTCTCGTCTCTCTTGCTTCCGCATCCCCTCTTCCCTTCGGCAGCGGCCCAGGGCGTGGAAAGCGTGGAAAACATTGCAGGACGACAGCGCGGCACCTCTCGGAACGCTTTCCAGCGATCAGCAC